AAAATATTGGCAATCTTTTTATACAATGAATCACATATATTAATATGAATTTTTTGTCAAAACCAACTATTTTTTATATCAAGCATTGACTATACATGTTTCATTTTTTGTGCAAATTTAACATGATTATAAATTTTTGTTTTATATTTAAAAAATTATATATCTAATTAAAAATCTGAAATATTGATTAGAAGAACATATGAATCACTATTTTTAATCCATTCCGTTTAGCTATTCCATCCTGTATATTTAGCATCATTTGTTATAACATAATTCTACTCTTGATGTCTAGAACAATGAAATATAAATAGATTTGTGAATCGCTATCCAATAGACTCTTCAATTTCCTAAGACTGTTTACCTAGATAAATAAATATGGTCAGTTCATAATAGTAGGTACAAATACAAAGCTAATGAAAACAAATGTTACCTTGATATTATGTTTTTTCACAATTGTCATCTGAAATAAACAATGAACTTCATTATCACACTGAGACACAAGAGCATAAACCGACTCAAAATTCTTCTATTTAGTCTGTTTAGGAATATTATAATAACCCTTTAAAGTTATTTCATTAATTGATTTAAATAAGTTTTGCTTTAGTCCCGGAAGTTGCAATCACCCACAAATATTACTGGCTAAAAATTCGCATTTTTAAATGTTGCAATAATCATGTAACATCACTCCAAAGAATCTTCCAGATAATGGAGCACCAGGACCTCTTACATTACTAACAATACTGTGTGGTTTTTTGTATTTATCAAACAAAGCCTCAAACATATAACCCTAAGCAGGAACATGTTCATAATCTGTAAATTTGATTTGGAGTACGTGTATGGATTTTCCAGAATAATGCTTATTTAATTTTTCTCCTTCTAGACATTGAGTGATTACTTCTAAGATCTTTAGCTCCTCATTATATTCATCAAAAGTTTTATCATGTATACAAACCCAAACCTTGATCAACCCATTGACTCGATCCTCAGTTACCTTATTTTTGTATTTGGATTCCATCTCCAAAACATTCTCTATTCAAATGTGTGTATAGCATTTTAAAACACCTGCTTCCTTCATAAATTCATGCCATCAGCTATTTCTTTGTGTTGTAACTAGAAGGGTAAATTTCGTTTGAACTAGAGTGGGAGACACGGAGTAACTATCTTTAAAGTCCCATTCACCCATCATATCAGAAATTTGAATTACGTTTTTGTTTTGTTTAATACAAAAAGTAAAGCTTCGATCAGTGCCTATGACTAATTGTCCAAAAGTAATATCTGCCGAGTACCAACGAGTTATGTAAAAAGCAAAAAATATTGCAAAATGTGTTTTCCCAATTCCAGGTGTACCATAATTGCCCTTCTTTAATAAATGATCATTACCATATCTGTAATGTTATAATTGGTTTATCATAATTGCCAAAATTTTCTCTGTAATTATTTGAACTCTTTAAATCAAATTGCATATTAATATATAGTTATTTTAATGTTCATTCATATAAAGAATATTGAGAATCCATAATTACTGCCATAATCACTTTTCCCAATTACGGCAAACAACTGTAATCACGATCATTTATCAACTTTTTCAATCGTATCAACATATAATTTCTTTATGTACACATACTGTGTTGATCATTCCATCTGGAGGATTTCAAAGATGTAAAAATTTTCTTAATCACCCATCTTAACCTTACCCAAAATTACCTCCTCTTCATTTGGTTTAACGTCTACAGATGTACCAACATTATATGTTGATTCGTTTTCTGAGCTTAGCATTTACTTCATTATTCAATATAATATGGTTCTCTTCAACTTTCATATGCTTTGAGAATGGTTCTGGGACTTTTCAACATTATCTGGTAATTTGTGTATTATATAGATGAGCTTGTTTTAGGTGAAGCAGGTTTAGGCTTATATCTTCAAAATCACCTTGCCGTTTCACTTTGTTTTACATATAACAAAAATAGAATAGATATAGTTCAGAATATTAGAATGTAATTTAATTATCAACATGAAACAAGATTGTGTATTTAATTAAAAAAGTGAATAAAAGAAGGAAAAAGAATCAATGAAGAAGAACAAGTTAATCAATATCACACAACACTATGCCAAACATTCCTTCAAAAATATAAGCATTACTTGTTAATGATAAACAATTAAATGATAGAAGGTGGTTTAAATTTAAATTGAACGGTGTACCAAATGTTGCTAAATGGGAAAATGAAAAAAAGAGAAAGTATATTTTCTGATGTAAGTTGTTCATTACCTTTTTCTTTATTCATTCTTCCCTATACTCCAAAACTAACCATCTCCTTGCCTCCAACCACTCTTTCTCTTTCTCTAAATATTTCATCTCTCCTCCACGCCTTTCCACACATCCTTCCCACTACTCGATCAACTTCTTTATGTTATCCTCCTCTTTAACTTCGACTTCTCTTTGTACTCTTTCTTCGTCTTCTCCAGTTATCATTTTTGAAAATGTAAAAATATTTATAAATCATATAGAATATATAAAATTAAAAAGTTTGATGTTAAAAATAAAGAAATGTCCAAGTTAAACTTGCGGAATAACCATTAGAATTGTGAAAGTTTATTTTAAACCACATGACTTCCATAAACGCATGGATATCTGTGTTAAATGCAATAATATTTATTACTTAGTTAAAGTTACAAATGTCTAATGTTAACTTATTAATATCTACATTACTTGTCTTTGGAATGCGATTAAACTAATTCTCTGGTTTTTATTTTATACACATGTTTTAATAATAATAGAAAAAAAAGCAAACAAACATATTTTTGTATCTCGCATTTATTTTATTTTATATTTAGGATTCCACACTGGATACACTTTCCGTTGAAATCCAAAAATAGTTAATATATTTTACTAAATTAAGTCAAGAATGGATTATTATTATTAATATTAAATCTTTGTTTTATTAATCATTACCACTCCATCATCATAATAATTGCAACAACAATTCTCATCTGCAACTCTATATATAGATTATTTCACGTCATGACACATCTAATTGTATACAATTACAACACAAGGAAGAGAATCGTAAGTATTTTGGGTTTTGTAAATGTGGATTAAAGCTAATAATAATGCAAGTAATTTTTGTATAATAACTGCGGAAATAGGTGAAGGTTCTGAAATAGATAAAAAGTCAAGACTATCTGGCTAAACCAAGAAAAAAAAAATATGAAGTTGTTGTTTTTATGAGGAGAAATAAGTGTACTTGCAGGGAAACTCTCTCTATAATGTATCTTTCCATAACGGATCTTGCTCTATAACAGGCTGTGAAATTTGAGTCCAATTTATATGTCACGTATATAATAATAGTAGTTGTTTCTAACGGGCATTTTTTCCGGTAATAATCCAAATGGTACGTTATAGAGAGAGCGAATTGTATATACTGGCGAAAATTTTGCATGTAATGGTGATGATCTAAGTCCTCTGTGTGGAAATTGTTTACGAGTACAAGCTAAGCTGGTATCTTCACCAAAGGACAGTATATAAATTGAAATGTGACCATGAAGAACCCATCTTGTTGAGCGTTTATAGCGATAAAACTTTTAAACAATAAAAGTTGATTAAGACTAAAGCTGAAGCACTACATTTGCTTCATTGGCTTATAATATAATTAGTGATATGAGCTGGCTAAGGAATTTTTAAACGGCTTGTCTGGCTAAAAAAAATCTTTTGACATTCATTTTACGTCTGGAGTTTTAATGCATTACTTAGAAATGATAAAAGAAAAAGACATATATTTGCTAAAAAAAAAAAGATAATAATAAAAAACGCAATAGTAACAGTTAGAGTTTCTATTGTAATATGACGAATAAAGCAAATAATTCGAACAAACCTTATTCCAAATAGAACCCTAGTAATGACGAACTATTAAATAGCAACAATGGTGTCGAATTAGATGTAATAATAACAAATAATAATATTAATAACAAATAATAATAATAATAATAACAAATAATAATAATAATAAATAATATAATAACAATAACAATAATAATAATAATAACAATAATAGCAATAACAATAACAACGATACCGCCAGAGAAGATTTTTTCATCTATTGATAATTATTAAAATAGACTTGGTAAAAATAGTAAAAACAACTGATTTATAGCGAATTCATTTGTCTATATAGTAAATGGTTTGACAAAAAATTTATTGGTCTGCATGCATAGGTTTTTCGGCTGACATCGCTAGTAAAAACAATGATAAATTTATAGACCAAGTTTAAATGGAAGTGCATTACAGACAAACCTTCATATAATTGGTGTGGTTGAAGACGCTACTGCAAGAAAATCGGGAAACATTATTTTCTCGACAAAAAAATAAAAAATTTTATTTAACATTAAATTGAAATTCGAATTGTTATTGCGTTATAAAAATAGTAAAGCGTTGTAATACATCATCATTTGAATTATTTATTGTATGATGTTTGAATTTCAAATACATCATTACATTTCAATTTGTAATTAATTATTGTATTGTATGAGTTATTTGGATAAAAAATGAATTATATAACACATCACTCAATTTGTTTTTTATGTGATGTAAACGCGGAATTGTTTGTTGTATGAAAAATAAAATAGGAGATTTGAATGCAAACGTTGAAATTTTTTGTATTATTATCATTAATAAAAAAATGCCATTCATTTATTATTATTCATAAATGTGTTGCTTGTGTTGAAAATACCATTAGCAAGAGCGTGTCTATAAAACAGATCAGAGTTGTTTGTGCTACCTTGTGCTGAGCTGACTCCAACTATTACTATATATCTTTCTCAAATAAAAAAGTTGGAGAGCAATTGCACTAGCTAGCAGAACAAAGTAGAACAATAACGGAAGCATTTTAAGAAATCAAATAACGCATTTTTACCAATCTTGCCAAAAACTAAACATAAGAATTAAGTGACACGGGTTAATAGTATCCAGAGCTTTATTATTATCATCTGTAATGAGTGTGCTAGAATTTTACGATTATATTCACACACTCGCTCACTAATTATCACTTTTATATCATTTGATAAAGAAATAATGAATGATTTGTCTTTTAAATTAAAATTAAATATAACCTTAGGTTTCGGCTTATCTCGCGTGTTGGACGAAATAGAATGGGAAAAGGATCCGTTCATCTGGTAGAAAAACCAAAAATCAATTTTCCTACAAGAAAATATTATCCCAAGTGAACATCTGTTCAGCGTTGCTGGTAGCCCAAAGAACAAAACTCGATCCGATTCTTTTTGAGCGAATAGTTTTTTAAAAAAAACCATATTTTTTTAGAAGAAGCATAATTTGTGGACAAAAAGATTATCTGGATATTGATTAGGGAACAGTTTGAATGTATTTGTCGGCCGAAATGTTTTGAGCACCTGTTTTCATTCGAGATTTAGGCTGTCGAAAATCTAAAATTATGTTGAGATGTCTAAATGACGCCAAAATGCATAAATGTTGTCAAAATGCATAAATTAATTATTAAAATAAAAATTATCAAATATTTTTTTGGTGCATAAAAGGAATTAGTATATTCATTATATAGGTTTTGGGGTAAATAATTGGTTGAAAATGGCCCATTCTCAAATTTACCCTCCGCAGCCAATATTTATCAATGAGTGATAAGGAACTGATTGCGTATCTTGCAAATAGTCGGCGTTATTTTAAATCATATTTATACATTTCGTAAATCTTACATTTCAACGGATATTTAGATATTTCAGGCATGTTTCAGTATTATGGCAAATCAAGTGACCTAGATGAATATATTTCGACCTAAATGTTTGTCAAAACTTAAATAAAATAAAAATGGGAACGATTATAAATGATTATAATAATATTGGTAGTAATGAGTGAGGCAAAAATCGATAATATAATTCTGTCGATACTACGATTGTTATTTAATAGAAACGATCGTTCAAATAACTTGCAGTTCTGGAGAACAGTTATCTAACTGATCTTCAACGAATATACAACTGGAATTAATAATTATATTTATGAGGAAAAAAACATATTACACCTTGGTTTGGGATTTCATCAATTAAAGTAATTCTACTCATGAAATAGCTGCTTGTAAAGCCTGCATGAACACAAATCCTGGGAATAATCAATAAAAAAGAAACTTGTTTAAATCGTTTATAGAAATTGCAAATATTTTCAAAGAAGAAGAATACCAAAAATGATAATAAGAAAACTCTAGCCCTGATTCAACACCATTAAGAGAAGCTGTGAAGAAAATTAACAAATAAATAATGTTTTGTTGTTCGCTTTACATTTAACGGTCACAGATATTTCCCAATGTTGACTTTACTATTACTACAATATAATCCGTGGTCCAAATAGCAGAAAGAAGCCTTGACATATAGAAAAAACCAAGTTCACAAAGATTTCGCATGGCACAGTTTTTGCAATAATTTTCATAATATTTGACAAGTATTTATAAAAATGGTTGTCGAAATCTTTGTGAAAAAATTTTTTCCTATAATGTGAATTAAAAATAAGTTACAATAGTAATAATGTGTTACCATCACAAAAAAAAATTTTTTTTGCATACCTAAGAATTCACTTAGTGAGCAATAAAATATTGACAAATAGACTTATATTATATATGACTTGTGTGACTTGAATCAATTGGTTGTAATTTTATACATATTTGATAAATTCAAGCAGTGTATAATATTTTTTCCTTTTTTGGTATTCTTTTGTAGCATGATTGGTTATATTATTAGATAATCCGCGCGACCGTTCGTTTTCA